CACCAGGCAGTCTCCTTAGAAGATATATTTCACATTCCTTGTAAGAAATATAACCTGTAATCATAACTTATGAAGAGATGCATATAATGGGAAATATTTACATTTTTTGAACTTATTGCGGTCTATTGAGTAATAGAGTATCCATGTTTTGTGATTCTTTTAACATGGTTGATAGCGCCACATATCGTCGATTAGCATTGCTACCATAATTGTAGTTCTACATTGTAATAAGTAGAATTAACCCTAGTGCAAGCAAGTAAATAAGCTCTTTTGGATTCCGGATGATGCCAGTCTACAATCAGAATATAATTATCATAAATTACAAGCATTGAATTTTTAGGTCACCTGAGTCACTCAGGTGACCTATTGCTATCTGTTTTTGTGTCGTCGTTCGTCGTTCGTCGTTCGTCGTCAATCGATCGTAAACTTTTGAACATTTTTAGCTTCTTCTCTGGAACCACTGAACCAATTTCAACCAATTTTGGCATATAGCATCTATGGGTGAAGGGGAGTAAAAATTGTGAAATTCATGGCCCCTGCCCCCCTGGGGCCTGAGGGGTGGGGCTAAAACCATCAAAATTAATGCAATCTTTAAAAATCTTCTTCTTTACTCCTGGACATCAAGCAGTCAAACTGTTGGCATGATTGTAATAAGCATTGAGCCCTCTACCAAAATTGTGAAATTCATGGCCCCAGGGTCAGGGGTTCTGGTGCTAGGGCGGGGCTCTAATGATTATATAGTGAAAATGCATTAATTCTTTAAAAATCTTCTCCTCTACTCCTGGGTATTAAGACGATGAATTAAGTACATAGTTATGATTAGCAAGAGTGCCTCTTCCAAAATTGTGAATTTCATGGCCCCTGGGTCAGGGGCTCTGGTGTTAGAGCGGGGCTCTAATGATTATATAGTGAAAATGCATTAATTCTTTGAAAATCTTCTCCTCTGCTCCTAGGTATTAAGTTGATGAATTAAGTACATAGTTATGATGAGCAAGAGTGCCTCTTCCAAAATTGTGAAATTCATGGCCCCAGGGTCAGGGGTTCTGGTGTTAGGGCGGGGCTCTAATGATTATATAGTGAAAATGCATTAATTCTTTGAAAATCTTCTCCTCTGCTCCTGGGTATTAAGACGATGAATTAAGTACATAGTTATGATTAGCAAGAGTGCCTCTTCCAAAATTGTGAATTTCATGGCCCCTGGGTCAGGGGTTTTGGTGTTAGGGCGGGGCTCTAATGATTATATAGTGAAAATGCATTAATTCTTTGAAAATCTTCTCCTCTGCTCCTGGGTATTAAGCTGATGAATTAAGTACATAGTTATGATGAGCAAGAGTGCCTCTTCCAAAATTGTGAATTTCATGGCCCCAGGGTCAGGGGTTCTGGTGTTAGGGCAAGGCTCTAATGATTATGTAGTGAAAATGCATTAATTCTTTGAAAATCTTCTCCTCTGCTCCTGGGTATTAAGCCGATGAATTAAGTACATAGTTATGATGAGCAAGAGCGTCTCTTCCGAAATTGTGAATTTCATGGCCCCTCTTGGTGAGGGGTTCCATGTGGGGGGGGGGGGGCTTTTTTTCTATATACTGAAAATAAAGTAATGCTTTGAAAATCTTCTCTGCTCCTGGGTATTGAGCTGATGAACTAAGTACATAGTTATGATGAGCAAGAGTGCCTCTTCCAAAATTGTGAATTTCATGGCCCCTTGGTCAGGGGTTCCATGTTGGGGGGGGGGGGGGAGGGGACTTATTTATTATATACTGAAAATAAATTAATGCTTTGAAAATCTTCTCCTCTGCCCCTTGGTATTAATTAAACAAACTAAATACATAGTTATGATGAGAAAGGATGCTTCTTCCAAAATTTTGAATTTCATGGCCCCTGGGTCAGGGGTTCTTGAGCTTGGGTGGGGTTCTATTGATTAATTAATAGCAAAATGCGTATATAATGCTTTGCAAAACTTCTCCTCTGCCTCTGAGTACTAAGCAAACAAGCTAAATGCAATAATATCAATGTAAATGCATGTATTAAATTTGATTATAAGTAAATGTGCCTTTTCTTTGCTTGTGGGTATCTAGGAGGCAGAGTACACAATTGTGATGTGAAGCAAATGAGAGTTATTCCCCTTTGCTAAATATTGTTAATCAAGAAATCCTTGTATATAATTTAATTAACAGGTTATTTGATTGAATGAGAATACAAGAAAGAATGTTATATATATAGAAACAAAATAAAAATGAATGTTTGGTTTAAATGAGCAAAGTATGTTCAAAGTCAGATTCTTGCCTGGAAAGCAGTATAAAAGATTGACATAAAGATTATTTATATATTTAGCAAAAGGTGTAATTGTACACAGTATGTATACTCTGTAGTGATCTAAGTTAGTGTCACTTGTAGAGGAGTTGTGGTTGACAGGAGACTGGATGTTGTTTTATACTTTATCAAAGTGAACAAAGAATCACAGAGAGCCAGAGTGACTTATTGTAATTAGTGACAAGTGGCAAATAACCACATTGTATATACCCAAGTCTGTGTGTACTGAATTGTAGCACTAGGCAAGTGACAAAAAATATCTGTATATATTCAATACCTTACACAATAGGCAAGTGTTCTTTGTATTTGTATATTTTGCATTCATTATCATCCCTGTAAGACTTAAAAAATATTATGTGAGATTTGCCTTACTTATAGAAAACATTTTTCGAGGTGAGCTTCGTAATCTTTGATTACCTATGTTTGAAATTCTTGGGCAATATTGCTTCGTCTATCAGTTAATTTTGTTTTATACTTCCATGGATCCTTTAGTGTTGTATTATACTCAGGTGACCATTAAGGCCCTTGGGCCTCTTGTTATCTGTTATTCTAGTAGAAACCTTGAAGAAAAGATTCTTTGAAATCGTCATAAAAAATAAACATTCAAGTTCATTGGTATAAATTCTGTACTCTGCTTTAACGTCCATAAGTATTCCTCTGTAAAACTGCATGTGCGAACCAAAGTACACGAAACTTACAACTTCCATGTACTAATTAAAACAATATTTCTGTATTAGAGGATAGAAGAAGAAAGGTTTGTTTGTGTGTTGTTTAACGTCCCTCTCGAGAATTTTTCACTCATATGTATACTCCACCACTTGCCGGTGCAGAGCTGCATATTTTGATCTATACTCGGAACTTAGGACCATTGAGCAGTGAGGGATCTTTTTTGTGCCAGCACCTACTGCGACACGGGACCTCGGTTTATAGTCTCATCCGAAGGACCGGTCTCCACGTCAAACAGTGGGATTCGAACCCGCGACGTAAGTCCTTACTCCGCGACTCTAGTACTAGCAAAGACGTACAAAACATTACAAAATACACTTTTAAGACTAAATATTGGCATCTATGATAATATTTGAACTTGAGTTATCTTAGTGCCATGTCATAACAAGATTAAAAGCCAAAAATATCTGACGTTTGTAATATTTTAAGGCCCTTACATAAAAAATTCCTGGAAAAATGATATGAAAGATCATACAAAGTTTATTGTTTTCCTTTCCGAAGTATTCAGGTATCAAAGTATTAATGTGTGTAAATCTTTCAGGGTACAATTATACCCAAGGTTTATTTCTGTTCTTATTTACTAAAGAATACACACAAAAGCAGAATACCGGTTTTGTTTGAAATAAGCTTCACTGGTATTTTTATACAAATGTCGTATAGGGAAGTCCTGCCTTACAAAAGATTTGCTACCTTTAAAAGCATTAAAACCTTTAAAAGGGTTTTAAGCAAAGATTCTTAAAGCAGACCAAAGAGTAAATCTGTCTTAAGGATGAAAAAGAACACATTTTCCCGTTGGAATCAATAGTGGTTTCCATATTCATACATTTTTTTCAATAAAAATGCTATTCAAAACGCCATAGAATTTAATACATTTGCTAAATATAACTTGAACGTGACATAAAGGTACATCTTTTGAGGAAACATCTAATAAACTACTAGATAAGAATGTACCGGTAAACGACTTCAAATAAGCATGCAGCAATCGTGTTAAGCACGTACGGCAATAATCACTTGTTGTTTCTTGATAAGATGAGATGCGAAAAAATATTATCCCTTGCAATAAAATTCACTTTGCCTTTTAATAACTGTTAAATCAATTGCTATGTTGAAAAACCGTTGACTTGATTATTATTTTCCTCGAGAAACCCCTTATGAAAATGTTTGCTTTTGCCTAAAACCCTGCCTTTTATAGTGAGTTATTATTCCCATCCCTTTGTTGAACAAGCTATTTCTATAGTCAAAACTCAGTCAAAAACTGCTATCGGTCCCGTTTTGTACTCACTTTTACATCAGTTGTCTTTTTAACACAGCTTAATTATTTGTTACTTTAAACCTAATCTACGACAAGTTGTCAACAGAAATATTTCCGGAAACAAATCAAACATTACTCTTTCAAGAGATATCATATTAACAATTTTATCGATTAATGAATGATTAAACTTTAAAATCTTCTTTTCCCAGGGCAGCGGTCTCTTCATACTCATGAAGCTCCTCAGCCTGGACGTGTATATCACACACACACCACACACAGAGAGAGAGAGAGAGAGAGAGAGAGAGAGAGAGAGAGAGAGACGCAAAGAGAATAATAAATAATTATACAAGATAAGAAACCAAATTCAAATATATGAATTGCAAAATACGCAGAAATAATTTCTAGAAAATGTAGATAAAAACTTCCTTAGTAAACATGATGTTGTCTTTACCGTTACAAGACCTTTGACCATCTGTACCATAGATAACGTGATATTTTTCCACTGCGCATTTGACATTGATAGTATACAAACAAATAACCTTCTTATTCCAAGCAGGTTAAGGACTCTTGTGCTTCCTGTGAAACTGGAAATTTTTACTGTAATTATTTAATAAATACCCTTTAGATAAAGCCAATCCTTTTACGATATAAAAAAAGGTGAGGTCATAAAAATAAAATAATGAGAGATCGTCGACCTCATAGCTTGGAGTTCGAGAGAAGACACATTTGGAACAATTAAAGCGGCCTTAAGTTATAGTTATTATACATTTGGATTTCATTAAAATCGTTCTAGAAGGATAACTTTTTATATTGAAAAATAATTAACAACCATCAAGATGAACGAATCAATCGCCTTAACACCCGGGCCCAGGGTGTTCGATCGATACGAGTTTGTGTCAGAATCCCCGGCGGTTGGGGTCTTCCTGCTAATTGTTTTGATATTTGCATCGCTAGTTGGGGCATTTGGAAATCTACTTATATTAGTATCTCTTTGCAAGTGTAAGATGATGAAGTCTTTAGAATGCATCTTCATCGGTAACTTGGCTATTTCTGATTTGTATGTGACTTTGGTTGCCGATCCAATGAGCATAATTGGTGAGTACGTGTTAATCTATATCCAGAATGAGATGTTACACTATGGAAATGCTTTTGTAAAATTTTAATTTGGTAGGCTAGCAGAAGTTCATTCTTAATTCATTGTGGCAGTTTCATTTAAAAAGTTGCTGGTCATTTACAGGGTGGAACATAATTCTAAGTATTTTAAAAAGTTGAGAGGAAGACGTTTAAGACAATTTAAATCAGAATGCTAGTAGTCTTGATAAGGTATATTTTTCTTTCAGCAAAACTAGAAGGTGAACCATTCTTCAATTCCATAGATGGGTTATGCCAAGGAATCGCGTACATTTGTACAATGGCTTGCGTAAATTCTCTTGGCTCAATAACGTTGATGAGTTTTAACCGTTATATTTTTATTTGCCATCACAAATATTACTACACAATTTTCAAGAAACGCACGTGCATTGCGATGTGTTTTTGCTTATATATTGTTGGTCTTACGCTTGTTCTTTTGAATTTGGCGGGAATTGGAGACCATTCGTTTGACAGGAAAAGTCTTGAATGTATATGGGACCGCATGGCGACTTATTATTACACTGTAGTCTTTTCAATCCTTTTAGTCTGGATTCCAGTTATCATTACGGGAATATTTTACTTAAAGATATTCGTAACAGTTCGCAAGAGCACGAAGAAAATTACAGAAGTCACATGCGCAGATCACAACAGGAAATCGGTTAACCTTGCACGCACATTGTTTTTCATTTACGTGATTTTTTCACTGTGTTGGATTCCATATGCCTTGATTATAGTGATAGACAGAAATGATACATTTTCTTATGAGCCACACTTGATTCTTACCGTCTTTGGTCACTTGCATCCATCAATCAACTGGCTAGTGTACTATTTCACCAACACAAAATTTCGTAAAGCTTTTGACAAACTAGTTAAGTTGAACAAACTTTTCGACTTATGCAAGAGAAAGAAGAAGGAAATACCGATTGAAATGTCGAAGACACCAACACAATCCAACGAAATTTTGACAAAAATTCAAAATTTTCATTCATCTTCAGGTACTGAATAGCGTGACAATTCCTTCCTATAAATATATTTTACTATGACTGTGCATATTATCTGTGATCAACGCGAGGACAGTGCACTTTTGTTTTAATTCAAGTGTGATTATATTTTATAGTTTGAAAAATAAAAATGATTTTTATTGAAAAGTGTAGTCTCTTGATATTATTTTTTTCTATTCAAATATATTTATTAACAAGAAAGGTGTTCAGGAAAAATGAATTCTTTTTGGGGTGAGCGGGGTTTAGATTTTAAGTTAAAATGATTAGTGAAATTGATACATGTATGTACATGTATATTGTTTCTCATTTCCTTTGAAAAATATAAAAATCCTTACTACAAAAGATACAAATACTTCGTATCAAGCAAGAACAGATTAGACGAATCCAGCGTATATATATATATATATATATATATATATATATATATATATATATATATATATATATATATATATATATATATATATATATATATATATATATATATTCATATTAATCATTCAGTTCCTGGAAACCTAACAAAATAAAATTTTCTCTAATAGGATTCTTGTCTAAGCTGATGAGGTGGTTGACTTAATATATTAAGTTCTTACCATCCGAGGAGGGGATATCTTGTTATGAGAAACGTGCAGTGAACGTCTGTGATTGGATTGTAATCCACAGCTTTAGAAGTAAATAATAAAACGAATGGTCTATCGTTCTTATGTGCAAACCAGGGATGGATCTATAAAGTTGCTCCAAATTACGTAGTTGATATATTTTATCACTAATATTGACTGTTTTTTAAAAAGACATCTATATAATAATTCTTCGTTTTACTACAGAGTAATCCTAAATCATTATATATCATTAATCGCCTCTAAATCAAAAACTCAGCTTACCGTACGTAAAAATGATAGCAAACCAAGCCTCGGATGTGGTACCGTATTCTTACATGATGACAACTTAGCAGACACCCTTAAGGACACATAAATCTCTACCAAAAAAAGCATCTCTATAATTGAAATATAATTATATTTTTTTTATTTTCCCTTATGATTTTCTTAAATTTTGTCCAGTGTGGTATATTCTATTTAGTAACTTTTTCACCTCTCCGAAAATTAATAAAATAACAAAATCATATTAATGAGCTGGGGTTCTTTATTAATTGACAGTAGAATGGCTTAAAACTTTAGCATTGGACGTTCAGAAAATGACAATTCATCGTGAAGGCAAAGGGCAGAAAAAACACTTCTTACTTACTGCTATTAGGATACCGTTAATGTATTTAAAATTGAAGAATGTTTTAAATCTAATATGAAAATATTTTAACTCAAAAGCATAACTTATTTTTAAAAAAAATTCAAATAATTTTCTGAAGCAAGGAAAAACACTAAGAAATAAAAATTGTGATTTAAAGATATTTTACCTTGAGCAGAGACATTTGAAGGTACATTTCAGTACAATCCTGCTTACATTAACTTGATAATTGACCGTTCTAATTTAGTTACATATATTCTCTATCGCTGGAGGAGATATAAAAAGGTAAAATAAGTAATTTTTTTATCTCTAAGATAATTAATACTGATTACTAAGAGTTAAAAATCGAATCTCGGATTAATTCTAAAGCTTATCATTTTTATTATTAAGTCCTTTAGTACAAATATATCTATCACTCTAAAGTTCTTAAGTGTTTGGCGTTTCTTGACAACTTTGAATTATCTGCTCAAGAACATTTTAATGAAATAACGATGGGATTAATTGAAGTATCGTAAAGAATTGCATACCTTGCTACACCTATTTCTATCAAAAATAATATTTTTTGAAAAAAAAAATTGTTAATGAATTACATTCGATGAAAAGATATCGATAGATATGCTTTGGTATTAGTCGAGGGTATCCAATACACGATGTGGTATATATAGATCAAGACAGACATGCTAGAGTCAGAATTCTGTTCACACAAACGTCTACAGGTAACTTGAAGTTTGGACTATGTGCTGAACATCTTGTTAAAAAGACCCAAGGTTTTCAGAACATCGAAGGGACTTCTGCATTAAGATCTTTAGACCTTTCCATTATCTTATTATGAACAACACAGTCTCTTTTTCGGAAGCAAGAATTTTGGAGCGTTTTGAGTTTGTGTCCGAATCCCCAGGAATTGGGGTGTTTCTTATTCTAACTTTGATATTGGCTACTTTCTTTGGTACAATGGGAAATGTGTTGATTTTAGTATCTGTTAGCAGCATCATTAAGATGAGATCGTATGAGTATATTTTCATCGGAAATCTGGCATTTTCAGACATGTATGTGACGTTGATTGCGGACCCAATGAATATTGTCAGTAAGTATGCTTGATATTTATAATTAAACGTTTTCCTGTGTTCACATTTATCGAAATTTTAAAATGGTTAAGAATAATTAATACATGTACACACTGGTGCTTCGGTTTCTCTTAAATATTCTTGGATAGTACTCATAGAAAAGTATGCAGTTAGTTAACAGCACTCTTTTATTTTTACTATTCTAGGTAAATTGGAAGGAGAAAGGTTTTTCCACTCATATCCGCGTCTATGTCCAGCAATTGCATATCTGTGCACCATATCCTGTATAAATTCCCTTGGTTCTATAACTCTAATGAGCTTCAGTCGCTACATTTTCACCTGCCACAGCAAATATTACAATAACATTTTTTCAAAAAGATCATGTATTGCGATGTGTTTTGGCCTCTATCTTATTGGTATTTTACTTGTCCTGTTGAATTTGGCAGGAATTGGAGATCACTCCTTTGATCGCAAAAGCCTTGAGTGCATTTGGGACCGAATGGCCACATACTATTACACAGTAATATTCTCTATTGTTCTTGTTTGGATCCCAGTTATGCTGACCGGGTTTTTTTACTTACGTATTTATTGTAAATTTCGTAAAAGTAGCAAACAAGTCATGGACCTTACTTCATACGACCAGCAACGAAAGTCAATGTGCTTCGCTCGTACCTTGTTTCTGATTTACCTGGTTTTCGCGACGTGTTGGGTACCATATGCACTTATTATTGTAATGGACAGGCAAGACACATTTCCCCATGAAGCACATTTGATTATCACGACGTTTGCTCACTTGCATCCATCCATCAATTGGCTGGTTTACTATATGACCAACAAAAACTTCAAATATGCTTTTAATTCAATGATGAAATTTGACATTTGTAAGAAAGAAAACATTAAAAGGATTCAGGTGCAACCAGCTCCAGAATGATTTATGGAAGATCCTGGGTTTCACGTTTGTATATCCTCGTCATGCCAAATTTATTTTAAAGGATGTGGTTTGCAAGACCACTGGAAATTATCATTCATTAATACGTTTAAAAGGCACAGAGAATTGTGATCAACCACTTTGTTTTGTAAACGGAATATTACGTATGAACGTACATGCCTTAAGTTTCTTTTTGTAGGACCTGCACATATACATTTCATGATTTAATTCCATAATTTGTTATTTATTGTAGTACATATACATGTGTTAAATTGTGGTGCACATTCAGATATGAAGCAGACAGGTTATATAATATGAATAGACTTATTTTTTGACAAATATAGAAATTACCCACCTACCCCCACTCCCTGCCAACACACAAATTCTGTATTAATATTCTTTGTTAAAAAACTGTTTTTACATTATTTATACCAGAGGGAATTCATTTGAAAATAGGTTTGACAATTTTTATTCTATTTTTGTAAAAAAAAAAATTATGTGTTGATTTTATTTAGCTCTACAGGTCGACAGTAAGAGTTTGTACAATCGTATTACTAGTAATCCAATTAAATATCAGGAGAAATCATTAAATGTTCAACTGATTTCCTTTAACACATAGAACTATCCACTGTGATGTGCTTATACTTTCTTAATCTCTTTGCTTAATCCCCTGAGAATGTGCATAAACTATAAACTTCATCTTTATTAGTAATAATATAGAGAAAATACATCATGCTAATGCTTTACACAGAAGGGAGGGCATTCGAAGACAACCAGTCAGTAAAGATAAAAATTTTAAAAAAAAATGTTATACAGATTCATAGTTCGAGTTACCTTTCATCTCTGTTGTTTCGTGACATCATTAGTGTAATATTTCTGCTTTGATGACAGGCTTTATTACTAAAGAACATGGTATCAACAGCAATTTCATTGATATCGTGATGTATAAGTAAATGACACTCCTACATATGTCAAAGAGGTATGTGCCAACGGGCAAGAAGAGGATATAAGAGGTGACGAGATTCTCCAACAAAAACCAATATGTATCAAATCGAATTATTCTGTTGACACCAAACTAAGCTGTGATCAATAGTTTGTTTATACAAGTATTCTTCGTTCAGTGACACAAAGTCAACAAGATCTATGGGCAGCAACTCTGACCCAACTCACCTTGGCCCCACTGTTCTTCAAAAAGATTTTTGAACATTTTTCCCCCTTTTGTATTCCAATGAAAAATTTACTATAATTATTTACAGTTTACTATAGTTAACTACAGTAAACACTTCGATACTCTGGAACTTTTCTTGCAATTAAAGGCATCAATATCTCTTTAGAATTTTAGAAACAATATGTGAAAATACAAGTAATATTTCCTTTAAATGTCAAAAATTGCACGTATGAATTGGAGATAATGAAATATAACTTTGATTTACTATATTAACCATAGTAAACTAAACTAATAGAATTTTTTATTAGGGACATTGGTACCTCACCCTAGTCTGAAGGTGTCAAGGCTTAACCGAACTTGAATATATGTGTATGCAGAATATCAGTTTCACTGATGTAGCCTTGCCATTCTGAAAAGGTAGATTTTTTTCTCTATACAAGAATAATATAAAATTCGATGATCCCCCATTCAGGCCCCACGACGACCCCTTCATTTCTTGAAGAAACTTCAATCCACACGACCATAGAATATATTTCTATATAAATATGATTTATTGTTGCCCTGCTGTTCTCGAAAAAATTTCCTTTTCACTTTCTTCATATTCCCAAGTAAATCTTCGAATCAACATTTTACCCAACCTTAGATCCAGTGCCATAATTTGTACAAATACGATTCGGCACTACATTGAGCTGCTTAATATCAATACGACTAATTTGTGGTACTGCTGGTTTTTATTTGATAAAGTTTCAAACAGACAGACAGACGCTAGACACTCTTCGATCAGGAAAGCTAACTTGAACCTTTAAAGAAAAAATGCCTTTACTGTTGAAATACACATCTTTGTTCAAAATAAGATTTATAATAAAATATTTTGAGTTAAATTACAAGAAGAGATTTGAAGATATTGTTTTCGGATTGATCTTGTAAAGATTAAGAACATTTCATTTTTGTAACGATAACTGGGAGTCGTCTCATATCAATTTCTCAATCTTTTAATTTAGCTGCTTGTTAACTAAACCATAACATAGAAATTGTCTGCAATCTGTCTCCTACAAATAGAAACCCTATCTTTGCATTAAGGACAGAGTCTTAATAACAGTACAAATAAACACAAAACAAATTGGTTCTTCTACTAATAACATAGATGTATTAACTAAATTAGTGATCAGGTATCTCCATATAATACAGATTCCAATTTGTTTACATCATGATCCCTAGGGCTTACGGGCTAAGAAAACGTCTCGAGAAGATATTTTCATGCAATCATTAATAAGATGTTTTCGGTTTTCGGGGCAATTTAGAGCCCCAAGAAATCTCATTACGCTTTCATTTCGCAGAGTGAGAACAGCACTTTCATTTGGCAGAGTGAGAACAGCACTTTCATTTGGCAGAGTGTGAACAGATGCTCAGGTGTTTGTTCTAAACCCTTGGTGACTAATTGTTGCATATCTTGGGTTTTGTGGTTAAAGATAAATTGTGTATTTTTTTTTACAAGAAAAATCATTTTATTTGCTATTTGTTGGAACGTAAATTACATTATTTTATTGATAACATGAAAATAAGTAAAGTTAAGTCTCTGATGAAATGATCTATTTTTTTTTAGATTTGAAATAGATTACTGCATTTGTGTAGATAAAATGTCATCCTGGGACTTTAGATTTTTCAATGAAATACGGAAAAGTATCCATAACTTTACTTTTTGATTAAAACAGACAAACTTAGACATGCATCATGAAGATTTTTTTTAATTTAAAAGTAAATAAAGAAATTTTTTCAGAAACTAGCAACACAAAGTTTATTTACATCAAAAGTTGTTTTGAAAAAAGAACTGGGATATTGAAGTAGTCTTTATTTCAAACAAGACAAATAGGTTCAACTACGAATCACTGAAGAGACTGCAGCTCTATAGGTTTTAACTTAAATAATATGTCAATTCTGAATAAAAGTATATTAAAACAATCTTTTTTCAAATTAAAGAATCAGACAGCATGGTGAAATAGTTTCAGGTAAGGATTTTCATTTAAGGAAAATTTTCAAAAACAGGCAATACATTGTGAACAATATCAAATGCAAAGTTAATTGCTCTGCAGAAGTCTTTAATTGTGTTCTGACGAAATTACCAAGAGAAGAAGAAAAATTCTTCTGACTACATACCGCTAACAGGCACCTCCACTTCATGGACGGTCACCAAAGTAATAAAATTCTGTCACCACACCAAAACTGTATGAAATTTTAAAAATATCTAGTAGTTTAATGCACATATTGAATCGCAAGCAAGTTCAATATGTTACAATCCAACTTGAGCAGAAGCTTACCCCAAATATATCTGATCACATTCATTCGTGACATTGCAATGGAATAATAAATTACAAATATTTTTTTCTGAATTTAAAGAAGTAAGAGATACATTCTTCATTGCAATTGAAACATTTTTGAAATTTATAAATAGAATATATTCAACATATTTTTTTTTATTGCAGTCTAGGTGTTCTTGAAAATACTATGCCTATAATAACATACAACTTTCTATAAGTATATATAAGAAATGAGCTCCAACAAAAACTGGCCGACGAGTAAATTTTGAAAGCAAATTTATTTGAATATTCTATTTCTAGCTTACATGGCAACACTGTCCCTTAAATTCAAAAACTGTTTATAAAAATAGTGCTTTGATGTAGTGTACAAATAGATTAAGTTTAATGAAATCAGACCAAAACTTGATCTTCGAAGAGTAGTGTTTAAAGGAATTAATTACAATAAAAAAAAACCCAGAAAGTTCATTTTTTGTAGTTCCCATGCCGAAATAAGTACACTGTAAATAAAACTTTAAATTCTAAATTTACGACTGAAATATTGTAAAAAAAATTTTAAATGCAACTTTAAAAATCATAGTTGCTCATATATATAGTCTGATTATTTTTTTATGTTGAGGCTACTCTAGCTGCATAATTATTTAGAATGACGATCAGAAAAGAAAACAAATGTCATGCTGACGTAGTTTACGGTGAACAGAGAACAATTGCTTGTTCGTTACTTTTAATCTCTGGTGTTTCGTGACAGCATTAGTGAAATGTTTCTTACTGAATGTATTTTTTTATGTGATGACATACTTTATTACTAAACATCACAGAATCAAAAACAGTGATACAAACGTACAACCTTTATATCACAACGTGGAAGAAGAGGTTTCATGGGTTGATAAGATTTCCCCATCAAAATGAAGCATAAAATTTTGTAAGATCGAATTACTCTATTAAGCGGACAAGCTCTCAATGATCAATACTTTGTTCACTCGTGTGTATTGTCAGAGACATAATGAAAAACATATTTCGTTCTATCAGATAAAAATCGACATCTTTTCCATTCAACAAATAAGCAACCGATCTTACCTCAAGACAATGAACTATACAGCCAACTCTCTCTCGGAAGCTAGAATACTGGATCGTTTCGAATTTGTAACAGAATCCCCATTGGTTGGAATATTTCTAATAGTGGTTTTAATCCTGGCGACCATTTTTGGTTCTTTTGGGAATGTGCTAATTATAGTATCAATATGCACTACCATCAAGATGAAATCATTGGACTATATTTTCATCGGAAACCTAGCAATTTCTGATTTGTATGTTACGCTTATTGCAAACCCATTGAATATTGTCGGTAAGTGAAAATGTTTTTACCAAAAAAATGCATAGGTATTGGGCTACGATTTTAAGTTTCATAACAAAAAAGTTTCCGTAAGATGTTTCCATAAGAGGAAAATATCACTTTATTATCACAAAAAATTAAGACAAAAAGAAAAAGAAGAAATTTAAAAAAAAAAATCAATTGATAGCAC